AGTGACCTTGACAACGGGAGAGAGCCCAAAATCCACAATGTGAAATTCAGCCCAAAACAGTGGGAAGTTCCACGTTTCACAGGGAATACCAGAGTGTGGCTTCCAAAGTGAGAACTTCCTGCACGATCCGGGACGGAGCCGGGCTTGGGGCAGACCGTAACCCCATGAGCCGGCACTGGAGCGCCCGCACCACGACAGACCCGATTCTGACGCTCGGTTACGGGCAGCAGCACCGCGCACAAGACACGGGTGTTATCATTCAGCTCCGCTCGATGCCGACCTGTTCTCAGCCAAGTACCGCAACGGGGTGTTGGCACTGCGGCCTCAAGACAGAAATGGAAGGAATCCATATGAACAAGATCAATAAGAAAATGACGACACATGAGAAGAAGAGACTGGGCTTGTGTTCTTGAATAAGTAGGGAGCTGGAAGCAGTAAACACAATTCTGTTGTCTGGAGGTGAAAGGCTTTTGTAAAGAACAGGGATTTGTTTCTCTCTGTGATTTCCAAGGGAAGTATAAGGAGCTTAATTTGCAGCATCGATAATTCAGCCGGGAATTAAGAGAACGCTGAGTGACAGTAATGAAACACTAGAAGCAAGGAAGTTGCGGAGCATCCTTCACCAGAGGCTTTGACGAGCCGGTTAAATGAGCAGCTCTCAGAAAAATCACCTGGGTCCTGGCTCCCAGCACCAGTTCCCACAGCACAGCAGGGCAGCGAGGGCAAGTGGGTGGACCCTGCCACAAGCCCAAGGCCTGCGGCAGCAGCCTGGCAAACACCACGCACCGCCGGCACACGTTCGCCGTCATCGAGTACCGCGCACGGCCTCTGCACGCTCGGCTTTTCTGAGCAGTGCATCACACCACAGAGTTTCATCCAGGAGACGTGAATCAAAAATCAAAATACACACCTGAGCAGCGCTCCTGGAGGAGGAGAAAGCATGAATAAGCTCGCTATGAATAAAACATACTCCTTTTGGCCCCAGGCTGCCTACTAGACACTGAGAGCCTGGATCAGCTGCCAGCGAAAGTAGGAAGGACAAAAATAATCCAGAGAAATGCAGCTTTAAGATGGCACACACCCCGTTCAGGAAGCATGCATGTGCCAGGTCTCCCCATAACTGCAGGGGACGGGGCCCCATCTCACCAGATACTCCCCAGCTTCACCTTCTGCGTCGCCAAATCCCCACCCGTCACCTCTTACTGCTGACCACCGCGGAACGGACACCAGCAACCCACAGATGTTGTGGAATGGGATTAGGTAGGATGAACACTCTAGATACATCTTGAAAATCAGAAAAGTGAATTTGCTAAGCAGTTTTGTAACTCTGGGGATAATTTCCCCAGGAATGAGTTAAAGCTACAGCACAGGAGAGTTCCTGTGTTAGGAGTAGCAGAGAATTAAACAAAGATGCTCAACACTACAAGCTTTAGGCAGAAAAACCTGAGAAAGTCTCTCCAGCCAGTGTGGTAAAGAAGTCAGGGTTAAAACCATGAATGTTAGAGTCTTTCTGCAGAGGCGGCTAGAGAGAACACAGGAACAACTCGGACAAGAAGTGGAAGGTGCTGAGGGCAGCAGCCTTGGTGAGCCCTGCTCATAGCTCTGCTCAGATCCTTGTGCATGAGCAAGGGCAAGGCCATGGCTGCAGGCTCAAAATCAGCTTAAGCCAGCCCAAACTCCTGCTGTTACGGAAGCAGTCTGCTCCTCAGCCGCTGCTCCCCACCACCTTCCATCTGTTGGCGCGAGGCCGCACAGGTGACAGCAGTAAAAGCCGTTTTTCCTCTGACGGACAAGCACAGCTGGGCGACGGCTGCAGCAACACAGAGAGCAGAATGGTGGCTGGACGGCCCTCTTAGGTCAGCAAACCTGCACGCTCCTGAGCTTAAATTGATTAAGGCCCATAACAAAGCTCCTGAGCGAGTTTCTCGCCAAGAAAGTTTGCATGGGCCTGGCTAAATCGAGAGCTCACGGGCAGCCCCTCGCAGACCAGAGAAGCCCCGATCCTGCTCTCACTCGCAGGACAGGCTCAGCACCCAGAGCCAGCACCAAGCCACCACACCCCCAGTGTCCGAGGTGCTGCTGCTGTGGATGGACAGACGGACGCTTACAGAAGTTATTGTGGGAGTGGCAGGTCTTGGTGTTAACACTCACTCACGTGTATATCCAATTTCAAGCCTGCACCAGCCAGGAACGTGTCCCGCGCAGCTGGAGATGGGCGACCTCCTGCCTTCCCATGATGGGGCTGGACGGGTGATGGAGGCGACACCACGATCAGGGTCACAGCTTGAGGACGAACGTGTCCAGCTCTGGTGTCATGTTTGGGATTCAGCAAGAGCTCCAAGGGCTGTCAGATGAAGGGCGAACCAGGAGCACAGCCCAGGCTATTCCTCATAGGCAGCTGCTGTCCTCACTGTCCTTCAGGCCAGTTTTTGGTCTGACTCACAAGAACTTTAACCTCTTGGTTGCAGCATCCCATTATCAGCAAGAGGGACGCCCCTCTTCCAAGCTGCCCCTCTGCAGACACGGACGTCTCCAGGAGCGCTTCATGCAAGACAGGCACTGATCCCAGCCTCGAGGCCTCAGGAGGCGGCCTCCCCACCTGCACCTTTAACAGGACAAAGGGGAGGACAGAGCTGGCTGTTTGGAGAGGACCCTGGCTACAGCGTGCGCCAGGTGGAAGGGAAGGGTTTCAGTCTGTCTGCCTGCTCAGGTTCTCCACAGACCCCCTCGGGCAGCGCACACTCGGCACATTATCACCATGAACATGACAGCTCCTCTCATTCTGTCCCTGCTCCAGGAAGCACACGCAGTCAAGCTGGGGTCTCTAGCATTTAAATCCCTTTTTTTCCCTCCTCTCAGTAGCTCATAGTTATTTCCTAGAGAACAGCAGCACCTTGCTGTCAGGTGGAGAGATGTTCAAGCGGGAGGCAGCCTGTTTAGCGTTGCTTTTGCGCAGCTACAGCAGAGGTAACAGAAACCTCCTTCAGGAAAGGAACTGGGCAAAACTGACCCCGCTCCAGCAACAACACCCGGCACCCCTGGGTAGCGACAGCAGCTGGGGGACTAAGGAAATAGCAACTGGGTGTCTGTCTGGCTTTTAAGGAAGTGTTTGTTGGCAGAGCAGCAGGACAGCCCCAAGGCCAGGCAAGCAGTGGCTAAGGACGAACTGCCTACGGGCAGAGGAGAGGTGGCGGGTCCCGAGGCCTCCCCACCCCCCAAAAAAGCATCAGCATTCAGCGCAGGTCTCATCCCCCACTCCAGCTCCTCTCGAACTGCCTCTCCCCTCCGTCTCACAGAAGCGTAAGCCCTCCTCACACTCACCCCAGGAGACCAGATGAGGCAGGAGCGCCAGTTCCAACAGCCCTCGTGTTTGGGAGGGTCCCAAAGAGAGACAGCAGCAAAAGCAAACTGGGAGAACCAGGAGAGCCGAGACAGCACGGTCCCGTGGGGGCTGCTCCTGCTCACACGGGGATAGGCTAGCGGTGTGTTACCCAGCTTTTCAATCCTCACCAAAATCGCTCTGCCCCATCCAACAGGTGAGGAGAGCACGCTCTGCCAGAGGGATTCTGCTTCCCTCTCAGCCCTGCTCCAGCTTTTGCAACTTCTGAACTTCCCAAAACTCGCTCACAAGAGGATTTTCATAGTCAAAAGGCCCTGTTCCTTCAGAATTTCTTTGGTGGAACTTCCTGGGCGGAACAGAGGTCAGGAGTGGTGATTAGACACGATGGTCTTCCCCTGGAAGCAGAGACATTTCCCAAGATAGTTACAATGGTGCCTTGTAAGGGAAACCAGAAGCAGAATAGGGCAAGTGCTGGACTGGAAAAGGAGACACAGAAGTTACTTCTAGCACAGCCCCAGCTCTGCCCCGATGCACTCAGCACACCTCCTTCGCACACTGCTCAAACAGAGGCTTAGCGTCAACTCAGCCCCTTCCTTGCGTTTGCTTTCAGCCCAAATCTTCAGTGACCCAAAGGAAGGGACACCGCGTGACACATGGCTGCCCCAGCAAACACGGGGTTCTGCTCACACGCCTTGTTTCACACAAGGGCCCTCAGAGAGTTCTCTGTAACAAAACGTGTGCAGGAGGTTCAGGACTCACCAACAAGGGCCCAGCCTCCAGCTGCTACAATTCACTTTTAATAAAAAAAAAGTTCCCAAGATACCACTGCTCACTCATTCGACATTCCACATTTTATTGAGCTTGGCTGGATTAAAGGGTTAGCTGTATGGTACATGAATTCAATAAATATTTTAAGAACTGGATGATGAATCCCCATTGCATTAGAGCAGGGAGTTAAGTACATGAATAAGTAAAAATGTATTATTTTTAAAAGGTCAAATAACTAGCTGGGGTGGATAAATGCAATTCTCAAAAAAAGAAGATGGTGTGAGCACTTCAGAAGCCTTTCTGGCCAAGGACAGCATTACCACAAAACTGACTGATAAATCAGGGCAGGTTTTTACTGCAGAATGAAATGTACCGCAGCAGCTCTGCCATTTCCTGGTCAGAACTGAAAAGGAATATTTACCAAGCACAACGCTCCGCCCTGTCAGGCTGGATGGAGAAGGTGAACACTCCAGGCAGCCACGCGCCCAGCACCAGTCTGCTCCTTTGAAAAGCGCTTTGGAAAGGGAAAAGGAGGGGACAAGGAGAGTAAGAACTGGTCGGACAGGGTCTCACTGGCAGACGTGCACTCACTGCCGTTTTCTAAGCCTAACATAAACTGCTCCTTTGCCAGACAGCAAAGGAAGTGTACAGCACATCCTGCCTAGGGACCTTCTCCTGCTTCTCATCACAGCAAAGGAGGAGATATCAGTCAGGCCCCCTTCTTCTCTGAAGACATGAGCAAGTCTTTAGCAAATTAAAGAATTGTGCGAAGTCCCCAGCACAGATCTTCATGCTCGGTGGCATGAGCACCTTCCCTGTCTGTTCAGGAGAAGCTCTGCCTCTAGGGTTCAACTTAAGACCATGCAAGAGCACCTAAGTTTTCAGGAAGCCCAGCCCAGCTACTAAAGCAATATATGAACTCTGTATGCACCCTATCCATGCCTGTGCGCCAACCCCCCGTGGGAGGGGGAAGCTACAATACACTACTGTGATCACTCCTCCTTCTGCCACAAGTCCAGCAAGCCTCTACCTCCTGAGGTTATATGAGATGCTTCCACCTTCGAAAGACTCCAGCAGGTGGAAGGGCTTTGCTGGCCCCGCAGAGCGGATCCATTAGGAGCCACACATCAGACACTCATCCCGGTTCTCCAGGGAGCACACCATGGCTGCTTTATTCCTCTCCTTCTCCTCTTCCTTGGAAGCCTTCTCCCGCTCCCTGAGCTTCTCTTTGTTCAGGGTGAACTGGATGGGGTTGGCAGCTGGTTTCGTCCTGAGATAGTACATGCCCGTCTTCAGACCCTGCAGAGCAAAAAGAGAAGTTGAAGAGCTGGGATCAGCTGGAGGTCAGGCGAGCAATACAGCCCAACCCGCAGCTGCTGAGGCTGACCTCCTGCAGCCCACACCACCCTACTGGCCTCACAGTCACATCTAGAAGCCAGGATTAACAGGAGCAATACAAGCACCCACAGCTTGGTTACTCTAGAGACATATTCCCCAAGTAAAACCAGATTCTTGGGAGGCAGTGGCCATTCACCCTTCTAAGAATCAGCAAGACCTACTTTCATGAAAGAACTCATCAGCCCCAGCCACTATCTGTTCCCGACGAGCCTCCCACGCCCTCCCTCCCAGATACCTGCTTCCACCCATAGAAGTGCATGCTGGTGAGTTTGCCATAGTTGGGTTCTGCAATGTGGATGTTGAGGGACTGGCTCTGGTCAATGAAAGCTCCTCTGTCTGCTGCCATCTTGAGGATGGTTTTCTGGGAGATCTCCCACACTGTCTTATAAAGTTGCTTCAAGTCATCAGGAATCTCAGGTATGTTCTAAAAGGAACAGGAAGAGTTTCCCAGTGACTGCCTAAATATTCATATTTATAGAATCAAATCCTTCACCAATTGCTGAGACTTCAGCAATCCTGACCAGAACTAAGGCTTTTTGCAGCTCAACTCTATCACTGAATCCAAGCATGCCGTATCTGAAAACACCCAAGCATAAGGAAACCTTACTAGCTGAAACAACACAGCTTCTCCTGGGGAACTTAAGAGGAAAAGTTTGCAAACAGGCCATTACTGTTTTGCCCTGAATATCTGTGAGGTCTCACAAAAAGCAATCCAGCAGCTAGCAGCCCTCCAAACTTCATGGCGAGCGGGATGCACTTTGCTAGCACACACGACTCCACGCCCAACAGTCACAGCAGCATTTTGAACTCCACAGCAGAAGCCATTCATCCCGCAGACTCTTCTATAGGTAACTTCTGATCTGGATGTCATACGCTCAGCTCCTGTCTCAAGCCTACTCCCTGCTACAAAATCATTGCTTTTTAATCTTTGTGATAAATGGGAATCCAAACAGTTGTAGAATCTGCCTAAAGCAAAGCAGGCGACTCATTATTTGTTCTAGCGGTAATTAGTAGCACATATCCATTGGGCTTCTCCATGACATGGGCAGGCTCCAGCAGCACGAATTGCCACTGAGATCAGACACATCCCCTCACATTCCTCATGGAAATGCCACACACGACAGCTTTCTCACCCAGGCTAGCTGAGTCACTCGCACACAGAAGCGCTGTGTGGTGGAACAGCCCCCAGCTGCAGGCATCTCTGCGTGCTCTCCCCGCTTTCTCACCCATACCTGTATAGAGCCGTTGTGGGCGATGATCTGGTTTTTCATCTCCTCATTCCACAGGCCCCTCTCTGTGAGATCTTTCAACAAGTGCGGATTCACAACCTGTAATGGGCAAAGGCCAAAGAATTAAAGCACACAAGTACAGCCCACCAAGCTATAGTCCTGCCCCACGGCACAAATTCGCCTTTCAAGAAGAGGCAAATCCATCCCACAGTGCACAGGTTTTTAAATGGTTAAACAAGACTTGTACAGTACTGACAGAGCTCAGGTGTCAGTTTAAAACAACAGGTTAACAGCTCGAGGTGCTGTCAGTCACTGTGGACAAGAGGAGGCTGTCTGCAATGTCTGGCTGACACCGACCCGGGGCTACACAAGCAGAACAGTAACACAAGTTACGAGACACTACGGAAGAGGAGCACATGGAACTCCCCTGCGTGAGGAACACCAAAGATGTGAAAGGGAGAGATCTTGGTTTACCACAGCCATTGACCACAATCTAAATAAGGGTGTAAACAATCATCAAGACCGGTGTCAGAAGGAGAAAGAACAAAAACAGGTGCAGGCTGTTTACGTGGGAAGAAAACACAGTGAAATTGTACCTGCTGAGAGCAGGGGCAGCTCTCCAGCAGCTGTGCATCTGACCAGCGCAGCGCAGTGGGTCAATGAACCCACCGTTCTGATCTGACCGCACACGTCTGGGTTGATCCTGCAGTCAGGAGGAAATGGAGTGTTTCCCCGGACATCGAGGGGAGACCCAGAGGGGACAGACAGACCAGGCCTCCTCAACAGTTAGATGTTTGTGTCGAGGGCCAAAAGCACCCCTTGGCGCAAACACCTAACGGACTAGAGTCACCAAGCGCGTGGCCTCCACCTTGCTGTTCTCAGTGAAATTAATCAAAAATATAAAACCAGAACAGCCCTTTCCTACAGCTGTCTTGCTTACCTGAAACTCTCCTGAGAGGACTCTGCGTGTGTAGATGTTGCTGGTGTAGGGCTCAATGGATTCGTTGTTGCCCAAGATCTGAGCAGTAGAAGCAGTTGGCATGGGAGAAAGGAGAAGGCTGTTTCTGACACCGTATCTAAGTAACAACAGCCAAGAGTTAAAAAGCTTCAACCAAGGGAGACAAGACAAAAAATACCCAAGAACAGCCCAGTTTATACACTGTCTGCAAAGAGCTAGGAGGGACATGGAAGTATCAGCTCACACACTCAGAATCTCGTCTGCTGCAAACTCTCAGATTACCTGCAGTAAAACAAGAGAAGCTCCACTAAACTTGTCAGGCGGATCAGCATGGAGCACAACTAAAGTCTTTGCTATCTTCATCTTAAATCAGAGGCGTTCTCAAATTATTTACTTTTGAGAAAGACCACAGAGAATAAAAAAAACCTGTCCACAACTCCACAGCCCTCAGGCAAAACCAAAATAAGCAGCTTATGAAGAGCCTGAGGCCTCTCCACGCACGAGACTGTAGACAGATTCATTAAAATTTAAAAATCAGACCTACACAAATGGAACAAATTCATTACAGACACTTCAGGCTTTAATAATTCCCATCTTCGGGATGTTCAAGGCTCAGATGCTTTTCCCTGTTGGTGGGGAAAGGGTTCCCAAGCCCAGATGACACTGGTCTCGATCAACACGTCTGTGTTTAACAGGAACACGAGCCATTCTGCCGATGCATCCAAGATGAAATACGAGCTCGGCTAAATCAGTCTAGGGTGTGGGCTCTCTCTGGCTTGTAAGAACAAAAGCGGAAAGAAAGCCATCCACAAAACAGCTCTGACGAAAGATCTACCAAGGCTGGGGAAACATAGGACCTTTTTATACTTGCACCCCTTTTTTTTGTTTTTAGTCAGTCGGAACATATTGAATATATTTTAAATCTAATGCAAACTGTGCACGACTACTCACTTAGCAATCCTCTCCTTTAAAGCCTTCCAGTCCCAAAGATCAGACGGGGTGACATTCCACATGTCGTACTGAAGAATCTGAAGAACACAGGTGCAGTCCAAATTAGACAGGGAACTCCATATTTTATAAAACCCATTGTAAATTGAACAGTTATTCATAAAATCATCAAGGTTGGAAAAGACCTCTGAGATCATTTAGTCCAACCGTCTATCCAACAGTACCACGACACAGTGAAGCTCCTGTATCAAAATCCTACAAACGCTCCATACTGTAGTTATGCTAATGGGGACAGCCAGCGTCTTGCTTTTCTTTTACTGCTCTTTGCACCTCGGTTTAACTTACGCATTTCTCAATGAGCTTAAGAAGAGTCAAAGCACCATTTGTCCTGTTGCAATGTGCTCATCCTGAAGGCTGACACCAGTGGTCAGTAGTGGCCGAGTCCTGTTCAATATATTCATCAACCACCTGCATGAAGGGACTGAGCATATCCTCAGCAAGTTCGTCGGTGACACAACAACACTGGGAGGGGTGACCGACACATCAGAGGGCTGCGCTGTCATCCACGTGACCTGGACAGGCTGGAGAGTTGGGCAAGAGGAACCTTAGGAAATTCAACAAGGGCAAGTGCAGGGTACTGCCAGCAACATGCCCTCGTGGCCGAGAAAGCCAGTGGCATCCTCAGATGCATCAAGAGCAGCATGGCCTGTAGGTCGAGGGAGGCCATCCTCCCCCTCTGCTCTGCCCTGGTGAGGCCACATCTGGAGTGCTGTGTCCAGTTCTGGGGTTCCCAGTTCACGGACAGGGAACTGCTGGAGAGAGTCCAGTGGAGGGCAACAAAGATGATGAGGGGACAAGAGTACGTCTCTTAGGAGGAAAGGCTGAGGGACTTGGGGCTTTTTAGTCTGCAGTACAGAAGACTGAGGGGCGATCTTACCAACGCTTGTAAATATTTAAAGGGTGGGTGTCAGGAGGTTGGGGTCAGTCTTTTTTTCAGTCGTGCCCTGTGACAGGACAAGAGGTAACTGGCACAAGTTTGAACACAGGAAGTTCCATCTAAACACGAGGAGGAACTTCGTTGCTTGGAGAGAGAGAATCTTGGAACAGGCTGCCCAGAGAGGCTGTGGAGTCTCCGCCTCTGGAGACATTCAAAACCCACCTGGATGCCGTCTCGTGCAACCTGCTCGAGATGATCCTGCTCTGGCCAGGGGGTTGGACTAGATGATCTCCAGAGGTCCCTACCAACCCCTAACATTCTGTGATTTTGTGATCAACTGTACCAAAGACTAGGCACAGCCACGTCATCTGCTTTCATGGCTTTGGCCCTGACGCAGAACAGCTCCTGGCACTTACTCCTTTGCTGACAGGAGAACCCTCATATGTTTCATACGGTCCTTGCTTCTCGGCTAGTTCACAGCTGGCTTCCAAAGCACCGTAATAAATGGTCTCAAAAATTTGCTGGTTCAAGCGCTGGGCCTCGGGACTTTCAAAGGGATACCTCATCAAGATGAAAGCATCGGCCAGGCCCTGCACACCGATGCCAATGGGACGATGGCGCCTGTTGGAGCGTTCAGCCTGCATGGCATTCAAACAAAGAGAGCAATTACCACCAGCAGAACTACACAGAATCACTGAACAAACAAGGTTGGGAACGGCCTCTGAGAGGAATCTTCATCTGTACCGTGGCCTTCATTTGTATGGCTTTCCATTCTGCTGCAGCACCCCACCTTTCAATTCTGCCTGGTTCCCCACTCTTCGCTCTTTGGTGGGGGGAGCAATTTGAGGACCCAGATAAGTTTGTTAGAAGCAATCATTCATTTTAATTGCTCAACCTGACACACAGGGGGAGCTGTGATTTAGAACACTATGCCCATGAAGGCATTTAAACTGATACCTTCAAACTGTACACATTAGAAAGAGGCTGATCATCATCTGGTTTGGCTTCACACTTCGGGAATTTGCTTATTTCCTCCTGCAAAACCTAGCTCTGCTGCTTGCCTTCCCACGTTCTTGCAATGCAACAAACTCTGCTCCCATTCCTCTTCAACAACTACCAACCCTCTCCCCACCCTCCCTTCAGAAAGCAGTCTATGCACACTCCCAAAATTCAAAAAACCAGCAAGACTGAGTTACACCTTCCTGAGGTCTTTCCAGGGTCCTTCTCTCTGTTCTGCTTTCCACTCCTAGTGCTGTTCTGTGCTTTAGGGAAATCTTCACACATGAAAAATCTCCAACTGCACAACTACCTCAAGGGAAGGCTTTTTCTACAACAGCTTCACTAAGGAACCAGTTCAGGCTGAAGCTTAAGAAGCAACTACCAACGGGTCACATTTGCAGAGAGACAGTTAATGGAACTCCCAACTATTTTTCCACAACAGGTTTACAAAATCCCTCACGGACTCCTTCCGCCCAAGACTGAACTGTGCTGGCTGTAGAACAACAGGCCCTTTGTCACCAGGATCTCGGCGTGCTGCCAGCCCGTAGCACTGCACTCACCTCTGGCACAGGGTAGTAGTTGATGTCAATGATTTTATTCAGGTTTCGGACAATAACTTTAGTGACTTCAGCTAGCTTCTTGAAATCATAGGTGTGCTCGGAAGTGACGTACATGTTCAGGGCTATAGAGGCCAAATTACAAACCGCAACCTGAGGAGAAAAGACGATGAGGTGCTAGCCTACACCCCGTGCAAAACACACATCATCTCAATTCCAGACCATGCTCTCTATCCAATCTATACGGAAATGAAGAATCAAGCAATCTACAAAGCTGGGAAAATGCACTCTTCATTTCTTATGAGTTCTAACAACAATTCCAAAAGGTTTAGTAGAAACCAGTATCACCATAAAAATTCACTTCTCTGGCTGGTCAATCCTACTTCCTGCAAACCATCCTTACACGAAGGAGGCCTAACCATTTCTTGTGTTGCCAGAAGCAGCAGCTGATCTGGGTAAGATCCAGACTACATTAGGGCATGTTTCAACACTAGCGTTATTTCCAGCCTCGGGAGAATTGGAAGAAGTCAGCTAGGATTTCCCGTGCAGTATGTGTAGGCAAGATAGCCCTTCACCTCTTCTAGACTACTCAGGATTTCACAAATATGCCAAAGAGTGTGAACTGAAGAACTGCTAGCATCTCAGGCAGCAGAAACTGATACTTTCAGTTACAGCAGCCTCCAGAGCTTTACTGCACAAGAAGCTCCCCATGCTGTAGCAGCACTAACTCGTTTCTACGCCCTTCCTTCACCTTTGTCAGCAATGCTGCAGTCCAAACAGAGCACATCCAGAGAGCACCAAGGTTAGGGCAGTACAGAGAGAACTCGTGGGTAATTGTTACTGCAATGTCAGTCTGGGGGTAGGAGAGAGGCACAGGTAAGTTAAAGAGCCCAATTCTCCCTCAAGCTTTCAGAGGTTCATGTTGATGGGTATCTTGTTTTATACCAACTCCTCCCCAGGATGTGGAAGGGAGGGGAAATCCACACATGCAGTCAGTGAAAGCGCTTCAGTACTCAAGTAGATCCCCTGAATTTTCTTAGCTACCTGTTCCCTTCCCCAACCAACAGCCAGACATATTCTAGAAAGCTGCAACAGGAGCAGTTCCTGTTCTCCTCCTGCTACAAGCTCCTGTTCTCCACCTACCTCATCTTTGCTGGTATACTCCACTATTTCCGTACACAGATTGCTGCATTTGATGGTCCCCAAGTTCTGCTGATTGCTCTTTCGGTTGCAAGAGTCTTTGTAGACCATGTAGGGTGTGCCGGTCTCTGTCTGCGATTCAATGATAGCATACCAGAGCTGCTGGGCCTTCACCACTCTACGGACACGGCCTTGCTTCTCGTAACTGCAAGAGGATATATGTTGCTTAGTAATTCCCAAAACAGCAGTAATTCTCAAAAACAGCAGTGAAAGACAATCATCTTTAACACAACATCAGGTCCTGAGGCAGGCCACATTCATTTCTTAACTGCACGAATTCTGAACCAGCCAAGAGCGTCTTAACAGCAGAGTATCAAAGTGTCCTTGTTTAAAGGGACCAGAAATCTTTCACTATATCCTATACAACCAGTTCAAAACAAAGCCACTGACAGCTTTAACCAGAGATTACTTCAGAATTTCCCTCTAACAAGCTAAAACAATCATTCACACATAGTTCTATCTTGAGCTGGTCACAGTTTGAAGCAAACAGTAAGCAGACATTCATCGTCTTTGTCCTTTTGTCAATCTGGATCATTAATGGAACTCACTGACCACTTACAAGCTGCCACCAACCACCTGTGCTTGGGCTTCCAGAGACCACACGATAGGGCAGTACTACTTAAAAGACTATTCCCTTTTCTTACCTCTCATATAGTTTCTCAAATTCCTCTCCCCAAACCTCATCTAGGCCAGGACACTCATTTGGACACATTAATGACCAATCCTGTAAGAAGGAAAAATATTCAGAGAAAATCTTTGGGCACCCTGTCGATTAAAGGTATTCAACTTCAGCAACAGATCCAGTAAACAGGAGTATGCAAACTACACTTCCCACCCTCAGAAACTGGGAACCAACTCACGTGGGAGGCAGTTATCAGACTGGTCAGCTTTATTTAAACAGTAACTACATGAATATATATGACCAAACTACATTTTTAGTCCTGAACTGACTGATTCTCAAGATACAACTCATTTTAAAGCAAATGCAAGCAGTCATATGAAGATCAATTTACTGAGAAAATTTTGACACTTTAAGGAAACTCCAGAGTAAAAATTTAACATAACAGTACCACTACATAAGTCACAGGCTGCAAGATTAATTACTGAAGTAAAATATCACCCTGGAGTTCCCCAGCTCCATTCTCTACCTGCAGAGTCTAGCTCTCAGATAAGGTACAGCAGCTCTTTCGGGCAGTTCCTGTGCTGCTAGGAAGGCAGCTCTGCAGCCCTGCCTGAGCTCCAGTCCCGGGCTGGCCACCCACTTCTCCATTAACAGGAGTTTCTGCACCAATCAAGCTTCTTACCTGGTTGGTTTCAACTCGCTTCATGAAGAGATCAGGAATCCAGAGGGCAAAGAAAAGGTCTCTGGCTCGCTGTTCTTCTTTCCCAGTGTTCTTCTTTAAGTCGAGAAACTCAAAGATGTCCAAGTGCCACGGCTCCAGGTAGATGGCAAAAGCCCCAGGCCTCTGATACATGAAAAACATAGTCAAGATCAGAACAAGTTGTCCTTGAAAATAAAGTCTCCTGCATTGTTCCTAAACTAACTGGAGCCCAGTTTTATAGTCTCATTATGGCAATTTCAATGTCTTTTTGTGTTATTGTTGTTTTCAGTTATTGGAACTGAGCCATGTTACTAGCTCCAGATTCTCAATATAAATAATTTACTACCAAAAGTTATTTCTTCCATGTAAACAGGAGCTTGACAAAAATTAGATTTACTTATTTTGTCCTGCTTCCATTGACCTCTGGAGTACCACAGAACAGTCAGAGTTGGAAGGATGTCTAGAAATCATTTAGTCCAACTCCTCTGCTAAAGCAGATCACCCAGAGTTCACCACACAGGACTGCATCCAGGTGGGTTTTGAAAATCTCCAAAGACAGACACTCCACGACCTCCTCAGTGAAGACAAAGGATGAAGAAGCTTTCTACAGTCTTATACCTTAATTCACTACTGGTGACTAATCACCAGTGCAGGAGGCTCTCTAACATGCACCTGTCACGCAGCAGACATATACCCAAAGATACACCTGCATGATAAAATGCACAGTGAAAGAGGAACACCAAAATATCAACAAGAAATGGGGAAAATGCCCAGTTTTAATTATGTGTCACCTACAACCACTTCATCAGCTCACTGATGTTACAGGGTCAATCTCCCAGAGGTGGAACCTCACCCTCTGACCCGAGGTTCCCTTTCTGACCCTAATTTAATGAAAAGTCAGTACCTTGTTTCCCCCTTGATCCACGTAACGGGCAGTGTTGTTGTAGACCCTCAGCATTGGAACAAGCCCATTGGAACTTCCATTTGTCTGCAGAGGCACAGGAAAACCATCCACAATGAAAAGCAGCCGCCTGAAGAGATGGGCCTACATTTTCTGTCTGCCTGCCAGCAGTCTGCAAAACTCTTACGCTGAAATCCAGGAACTGACCACCTCAACCAGTTATTTGGTAGTCCCTTCCCTCGGCCTTTTTTAATAGTAGACAAAAATGTTTATCAGCCACTGGTCTGAGAGTTAATAAAATGTACCTCCTAGCTTCTTTCCTCTGCATTATGTCATCTAAAGGCTCGCAGAGGTTACATACACTGCGAAAACAAAACCAAGCACGCGTCGACACACGATCTTGAGCAGTTAGATGTACAAAAACGAAAAGCGCTAATACACAAGTCTCTGAGCATACTCCTACGTTGCTAACAGAGGAAAATACACAAGTCTTTGTATGTGTTCCTAGGTTGCTAGTACATAAAAATACATGAGTTTCTGCATACTCCTAGGTTGCCAATACATAAGCTGTAATTGTCTGATCAAACAATGAAATAAGATCCTCTTGTTTGGGACAATTTCTATTAGGAAGCCAAAACATCAAGGAAAACCAATCTTTTTGCCATAGAGCATACTGAAAAGGGAAGGACTACTGAGCTAGACTAACGGCTGTGTTAAAGTGACTCGGTAGAAGCAGTTGATTTGGCAACCAAAATATAGATTTTTCTGAAACCAGGAGGTTAAACTCTGTGGGGAACACCATCTGCACACTTACCCCAGCGATATAGCTGCCCGTGGCTCGGATACAGCTCACGGCAACGCCGATCCCACCAGCAGACTTTGAGATCAGCGCACACTGCTTGAGAGTGTCATAGATTCCCTCAATGCTGTCATCCTTCATGCACAGCAGGAAACAACTAATGAAAACAAATAGCTTTAGCATACAAAGATTAAAACAAAAAAGTCAAGTATTTCACCAGGGCTGCAGAAAAACAAGGATAAACACCAAATCTTTAGTATGCTACACCAAGCAAAGAAATGAAACAAAACCACAGGTTGTGAAGTGGCAAAAACCATCACGAGCAACAGTTGTGACACTGATATCTGTGTTATCAAAGCAAAAGCATTTTTAAAATCATATCAGTTATGCTTGCTACTTTTAGCACGTTTTAGAAAACAATTACCAGCATTCACTTTGTAATGTACAGGAGACTACGTGGATAAGTAACTTGCAGATGAAATACAGCCACGGAGACATTTCCCTGAGCTTTAGAAACTTACAGAAACCTGTGTATTTTTCCTCAAAGACTACAGTAGATATCAGTTTAAATTTGACAGCAGCTTCTCAAAATTTCACAAAACAATCACAGAAAGACAGCTACTGTGGAACTTGAACAGACGCAATTTCCAAAACTTGATCTTTGTCCAGTTACACATTAAGCAAACCTGAAAACTGAAGGTACCTGGAAAGCTGCGGCCGGTTGGTGCCTGCATTGAACAGCGTGGGGGAGGCGTGAGTAAACCACCTCTCAGACAGGAGATTGTAAGTTTCGATTGCAGCATCAATGTCGTTTTTGTGGATCCCCACCGACACCCTCATCAACATATGCTGAGGACGTTCAGCAACTAAACACAAAAAGTAAAGGAGAAAAAATAACGTCAGCGTGACACTCACGATCAGCACAGACAGACGCAGGGGTCATAACAATGTGCAACAGGCCACTTGAGAGTCACAGTTTTCACAGAATCACAGAATAATTCTGGTTGGAAGGCACCTCTGGAGGTCTCCAGTCCAATCTCCTGCTCAGAGGAGAGTCAGCCAAGAGAATCAGACCACTGTGCTCAGGAGTTCATCCAGTCAGATTTTTAAAAACTCAGCAACAGGGACTGCACAACCCCTCTCAACAACCTGCTCCAACACTCATCTGTTTTCACAGCGGGAAAACCCCCCCAAACCTCACCTGTATTAACAGTTGAAGTCCAATCAAACACCCAATCCAGCATCCAATTGCTCTCTAGGTTTGTTATAGCACAATTAACCTCCCACCCTTCTGGTACCCTATGATTTTCACGCTAAGGGCCGGCAATAACTGGAACTGATAGCCCAGTAGCTCTTTCAGCTTAAATTTATTAAAAAATGCTTAGCATTCTGGAAGAAGTTATCAGCTGGACAGAAACTGCTTCATCTTCTAAATCCTAGAGAGCAGATAGCTTTCGAAGCACAAGTGTCCTTGAAGCAAACAAGTCAAGCACAGCTGTCCAGGACACACTGCCGGCATTTGGAAGACCTAAGTCAACGTGCCACAGTTCTGCTCTTTAATTTCTAACTGTTCTTCTTCACGGAAGCACATGGCTGCCACTAAACAAATGCCAGATGCTTAGCCTAAGAAAAGGAATTGTGCATGCCCAGAGAATACCTACCACAGACATTTTGCTATTGCTTCAAACCAGTACACAATGCTTTCACTGGAAAGCTCCACAGAGAGCCAGAAGGCAGACCCCCGCTCTGAGTCATGGTCTTGACTTTTAAATAATCTTCACGGAAGCACATGGCTGCCACTAAACAAATGCCAGATGCTTAGCCTAAGAAAAGGAATTGTGCATGCCCAGAGAATACCTACCACAGACATTTTGCTATTGCTTCAAACCAGTACACAATGCTTTCACTGGAAAGCTCCACAGAGAGCCAGAAGGCAGACCCCCGCTCTGAGTCATGGTCTTGACTTTTAAATAATACTTTGATACAGACAGCTCTCACCTTTTGAGTTGATTTTCAGCAAGTAGGACCGTTCTAGAGTCTTTAAAAAAAGAGAGAATGCATTTTAGTAGACATGCAGACCTCAGTTTTTTTTAAGAAACCCTACTAACTCCAAACTCAAGCATCTTCATGCTCCTTATCCCAGGCTTGAACAGAAGAACCAACCACACACTCCACTCCTCCTCTTGTTAATGGCAGAGGTTCAACACAACCTCTCAACCCACAGTGAATTACGGCTGGGAGACAAGGGAGTGCCTAATCACTACAATGCTATCATTCCTTACAGCATTGTTACACTACAATAACATTTTCCAGACAACCTTGACCACAGGGCTGGGTGTGGAACACATAAAATGACAACTGTGGCAAGCCTACAACCACAGCACATGCCTTTTAAGCTTTTACAGACAGATTACAGCAGTGGTGACAGGAGGGAATGTCCGGAATTGTGCACCTGTACACGTACAGAAACCCCTCCAAGGTGCCCTCTTTCCACCCTTACCCACGCTTTGTGCTGCTGCTCTGCTCTTTGCACACAGCAGCTGTTTCCTCATGGCAGGCTCCCTCCCCCAAACCAGGAGGCACCAGGTCAGGGCTGTTGATGGCAACTTGAGGCAAACCCCCCAGTTTTGACAGATTCATGAGAACTATCTGCAGTACCCAGTGCTGCAAAATACTCCCCAGCCAACCCTCCGGAGAGCCTGCTTCATCCTGTCCTGAAACGCTTCAGCAAAGAACAGAGTGTTGTGAGGGGAGCCGAAGGAGCAGATGGTGGGGGCACAGCAGACTGGACTGGTTGTGGGGGAGATGTTCCAGCAGCGTGGAAGACGACAAGCGCGTGGGATGACATGCTGAGAACAACTGTTACACAAAACAATGGGGAAAAACAAAAATCCCTTTTTGGTTTGTTAAGAATCAGACTAGTTCCTTAAGGAATGGCACGAGCTGGGAAGCTTTAACAACATTCAGTGCTATCTGCTGCGAAACAGTTCGAGCCCAACAGTCCAAACATTAGAGCAGCCAAGGGTGCACGGCGAAGCCAAGAAGAAAGGACGTGATTCACGCAGTCGGGCAATTCTCTGTGCGGGTACTCTTTTTTTCACAAACCCACTACTGTTCCACCTTGCCTAAATCAAGATGATTCCACAAGTATTCCCATTCTTCCCAAAAGCATCTGGTCCAGAACAGTACCAGAAGAGCAGACTTTGTTATCATGAGTTATGTGCTTTTTACCTTAAAACCAAAATAGTTGTAGGAGAAGTCTCTGTCATAGATAATGGCAGAATTCAGGCGCTGAGAGGAAATAACATAGAGAAAAATTTACGCTTACAATCAACTTTTTTGTGCTCCACGTTAAGGTATAACAATGCTGTCATTGTCTGGTTTTTCTGGCCTCAAAGGCTTCGTGAAACAGATACCAGACTGAAGAAATAAAGCAGGGAAGAGCACTTAGCTTGAAACAACAAATGCACCATTTTAACATTTTTTTCCAAGTATAATGCGCAATTGTTGGCTACATTTTACTGAAGTCTAACTAGACACTAAGAAACCCAAGACAGAATCAAGCTATGAACATCACTTCCCTGTAAAAATACAGATCTGGAGCAACTTGAAATCAGAAACCAAACCTCATCTCTCCCTTCTGCACACACAAATTGCTACAGCAAAAATGTACTTTTTCTCAAATTAGTTGTGCTGATCTTGACTTGAGGACATCTGAGAAAACTACAGAAGCACCCTTACATGAAGAAAATTCCTACATCCTCTTTTTTAAACTCTTCAGAACACAGAAGTTATCACCTACACTGGTTTTTGCATTGGACTTCTGTCATAAAACAAACATGGCTTGCTTAAAAATAATAAAACCAAATTATGTGAATTAGTTAACTAAATTTTTAAAATTTCAGAAATGTAAAAAAAAGTTACATACATCTTTGTTGGCCAAAACTATGTCTAGAGTTTCTTTGGAAATCATCGGTGAGTGCTTCCCATTGTGAGGGTTGATGTAGTTGTAGAGATCATCCATCACATCTAGAAGAGAAAGGTATTTAAAAGGAAGGACATCCACAGGCCCGTACATGCATCATCTGTCATTTGTTTTCAAGGATTTAACAGGCAGGTCTACTCATCCTCCAAAAGGACTCTCTCCTGCTCTACAAACACACAGTTCTTCTGCCTGCTCTGTGCTTGCTTTTACCAATCCGTTAACCTTCAAAATGCACTTCTCTCACAATGTTTTTTTATAGAATTTATAGCATAATAAATAGGAAAGAAAGTGGGTGCAACCTAATTTCAGTCAGTTCTACTTTTTATCAATCTATTTATACAGATACTTTTCACAAAACAGTCAATTTCATTTTCCTTGTGACATGCCTAAAACTCACGTTTTTCATCTCCATGGCATTTTTAGCCAGCCTGGGTACTTAGTAACTTCTGCCTGAGAAAGAGATTTCCATATTTATATCCTCTAAAACTCCTACTCCCTCTCTGACTAATTCCTATGCAAGTGCCCCCAAAGAGACTTACCACTGAATACTTTCTTGGTTTCTTTGTGCAAATTGGACACTGCAATCCTTGCCGCCAGGATAGCATAGTCGGGGTGTTTGGTGGTCAGGGTTGCAGCTGTTTCAGCAGCCAGTGTATCCAGCTCCACCGTTGTGACACCACTGTACAACCCCTGAATCACCTTCATGGTGATCTGCGCCTGAAAAAGGAAAACTCTGGAGATTAGCTACCTGTTGTTGGGGAGAAAAAGAATCCCGATGTTTCAACCAACTAAGATGGAAGATATGCTCCACTACCAGTAGTACTATTCGCTCCGATTGAACGGAAAGGTAAATTAAAACACAAAACTCTCTTAGGGAAGTACTGACTCCTAAAATTTTAAAGTAATAGTGGGGGAGAAGGGAGAGTGAGAGAAGAGTGAAAAAATCAGACACTGTCAATCATTAACAGTTTTCTCTGCAGACACTCTCTCAAAGGCTAGGATAGAGTAGCAGCAAGGTTCATAGGGGGAAAAGCCAGATTAAAACGGTACTTGCTTGGAAGTTCTGAAACTCCAAATGAAGCTTGACTTTAGAAATGCCTGATGAGACATGGAAGTGCTACGCTTGAAATAAATCTCATGGCAAGAACAGAAACACCCCAACCCTGGAAGGGATACAGCAGCACTGGTCACTACAAGAAAGAGCACATTCTCCACCGGAGAAGGGAGATCTGATCAGTGGCAACTGCCAGACACCCCTGGAGTGCCAACAGCCTCACTAAACCAGGACATCAATTTCCAAACCTCACTCTCTGAAAGGAAGCACAGTAGGTTAGGGATTTTGAGTACTGGCTTGTAAAGCATCCGGCACAAGAAGATCCAAGCCCAAGAAGAGCAACTCAATTCCAGGAAGAGAGAAGTCACACACTACAGCAGAACAAAGCAGAAACCAGTCCTTCATAGGAGATCAGCTTCACTAAAAGTCAGGCGGACTTGGAATCATCAACTCCCTAATGACACGGAGATCGAGTCAGAACGCTTTGTTTTTCAGTAACCAAGTCACCAACTCTTCTGCTCTCCATCTGTGGCTGAAGAGTACTACTTTTGGTAGTATTTTACGTATTTTACAGGTGCAATTTAAGACATGAAAACCTATCATTAGATCTTCAAGATGGGAAGAGCCTAAGTTCGCAACTTCAGATATGCAGACTGGGTCTGCAGACCTGCCTAAAGATCTCACAGACACCAGAGGATCACAAGGGAATCACCCTCTGCACAGACTTTGCAAGGGGAAGCTTGCACAAAATGGGATCAACACGGACTCAGAATCCTGTGCAGCTCAGAAAAACAAAGAAGGGATATCACAAGGACAGGGGGGTTTTGTCAGACAGAAAGGGCACCTTGTTCTATTTTGAGAGGATCAAGAGCTACTTTCCATACAGTATTGCTCAGGCTTTACATACTGAAATTGAGAGCAATTCACCAAAACAAAAATAAGGGAGTTGGAGCAACAAAACAACTATTCTTTTTATGAACAATCACTTCAACAACTTTAAGGTGAAAGCAATTTACAATAATTTACAATAGATGAGATGATTTTTCCCCCACCACAGTCTCAGATTCTGTATCTGTCAAGCAAAAAAACCCAACCCTCAGAACACAAACAATTAGAAGAAATATTATGAACGCATTTGCCAAGAGTTCCTGCACAGGCTGCCACGCTTGGCTTCTGCCAAGGAGAATGACCAGGTAACACCTGCCCACCACTGTTGGCTTCTAGCAGAGGTCATCACAAATTGCAGACAACAGGAGAGCAGAACAAATGGCAGACTCACAGGATCGACAAAGTCAGCATTGAGCCCATAGCAGAGCTTCTGGATGCGTGACGTGATCTTGTCAAACATGACACGCTCCTGGCGTCCATCTGTTGGGGAAGAGGTTACTGTTATAGCAACTCCCGTGACAACGAAGAACCAGCCAAGCACCGTATCCTCCCACCCGGAAGGAGCCAGCCCACTTTTGGGGGAACTTGGGGCGGGAATCACCAAGGACAACCTGTTCAGATTCTCTGTTCAGGCCCAAGAAGGGAGGCTATCCGTCCACCTCGGCCAGTAGGTCGAGAGAGGTCCTCCTGCCC